AAAAAAAAAAAAAGAAACAGCATGCCAATGAAATTAAAGGCATAGGATAAGAACACTTCTCTCCTCACTATACCTCTCCATACTTTCTATCCTTCCTTCCCTACTTCCATACACTGCTTTGTCCTTCTTTTGTTCTTTAAATCTTTCACCTCTTTCCTTCTGAGCTTCTCAAATATGGCTTCTCGGTCTTCCCTTTCCCTTAATATGCTGGTTTGTGATTTAATTCCTCTACATGACAAAAACACATCCATGCACTCTTTTCATACTGGTCCCCTCACTTCAGCTCTGCCAGTCATTCCTGACCCTATCTCTACTTGTTTTATTACTTTTTGTACATCTGCTTGTTGCCCTAATTTCTGATTTTTTATGTGTAACTTGCAGTCGGGTTATATGTAAGGAATGTCTATACCTGTATGCCAAAAATCAGGAGGAGTCTGATAGATGGATCTTATTCATTCAAAAAGTTGTACAATTTTTCCACAAAACCCACTTTTGGTTTTTCCATTATCACCATTCACTTGAGCATAAGATATAATTATCACCATTTATGCATTCCTTTTTACATATGTATCCACAACAATTAAATTACACCAATTCATACTCTCTGGCAAACCTTTTAGCCCTTTCAATTATAATTAAATCTACACCTTCATTTCCTTACATGGTCCACTTCAGAAGATCAGACCACTTTATTCAGGTTTATGACATCTTTCTACCTTTTCTTAGTTTCACAGACACACAAGATATCTAGTGCACGAAGGATATATACAGTCACTTTATTATTTAACATCTGTATCATGAAATATGTTTGTATTTATATTGTATTGTATTTATATTATAACACTGGTATGAAAAATCCTGGGCTAGAAAAAATAGTGACTAGAATTAAAATTACTGGGAGAAGTACCAACAATCTGAGGTATGCTGGTGATGCTACTCTGACGACTGGAAGTAAGGAAGGCTTAAGGAAATGCTTACTGAAGGTGAAAGAACAGAGTATTAGAGCTGGTCTGATGTTCAATATATATGATTATGTCAACATGCAGTGTCAACCTGAAGAAAAACTTGAAGTAGCATCAGGCTTTGTTTCGTAAGCTTAAACATTCACAGGGATGGTGTAGAGGGAATAAGGAACGGCCTTGAAGGACAGGAGGAAAAGCTGCTGAAGGAATCAGATAAAAGGGACTTGTGATGGAGGACGTGTGTGAGGAGAGTCAAGGCCGTGGGGAGAAGCATCTCCTCAGCCCACAGGAAGAGCGTGTGAAAGCAAAGAGGATGAGACTGGCACCACCCTAAGGAATTCGTAGTGTTTAGTTGCAGACTTTGGGAGTTAGAGTTAGTCTGGTGAGATTCTG